GCATCTTTCAAATGACCAGTGGCGCTGAACATTTTTTCAAATATTCGTTTGCTGCTTTTACTTTGTCTGAGAAATGTCTCTTCCTTTCAGATGCCCATTTTTGAATCAGGTCTTTATATTTGGGGGGGAGCTGATTGTTTTGAGCTCTTTATATATTCTAGATAGTAGTCCTTTGTCTGAGGAGTAGCTAGTAAAAATTTTTTCCCACATTGTAGGCTGTCTCTTAGCTCTGTTGGTAATTTTTCTTGTACTACAAAAACGTTTTAATACAATGAGATTCCAGTTTTTTATTCTTTGTGCAGGATCTTGTGCTGCTCAGGATTTATTCATAAAGTCTTCTCCTATGCCAATGTCTTCGAGAGTTCTACCTAATTTACTTTGCAGTAAGTTTAGTGTTTCTGTTTTGATATTTATATCTTTAATCCACTTGGATTTTAGTTTAGTGCATGGTGAAAGTTAGGGGTCTAGTTTTAATCTTTGGCAAGTTGAAAGCCAGTTTTTCTAACACCACTTATTAAAGAGACTATCTTTTCTCCAGTGAGGATGGTTGGCTCCTTTGTCAAGGACAAGATAGGTAAGTATATCTAGTGTTGTTTCTGCATCTTCTAATTTATTCCACTGATCCTTGTGTCTGTTTTTTTGCCAGTACCATGCTGTTTTTATCACAGTGGCTTTGTAGTGTATTTTCAAGTTGGGAATTGTGATACTCCCTGCCATGTGTCTGTTGCCTAGAAAGGCTTTTGCTATTCTAGGTCTCTTCTGGTTCCAAATGTATTTTTGGATTGTTTTATCAATTTCTGTGAAATATACTGTTGGGATTTCAATAAGGATTGCATTAAATCTGTATAGAAGTTTTGGAAGTATGGCCATTTTTACTATGTTGATTCTTCCTATCCCAGAGCAAGGGATATCTTTTCATCTTCCTATATACTCTTCTGTCTCTTTTTTCAGAGTGCTGTAATTTTCAGTGTAGAGGTCTTTTGTCTCCAGGAAGGAGTAATTTGTCCTTTTTGTTGTGTGTCATTGCTTGAGCTTGGACATTTCATTTCATTTTCTCTTGCCCATGGACTTGGATTTACACCAATGGCTCCCTTGAGTCTTGTGCCTTTGGACTCAAACTGAATTACAATACTGACTCTTCATTCTTCAATTTACAGAAGGCAAGTTATAGGGCTTTACAAATTTCATAATTGTGTTGATTTATTCATTCATTCTCTGGTGTGTGTTTTAAACTCTCCAGTTTGAATGTTCTTTGTCTATCTCAAACAGTTCATTGAATCCTTGGTTATAGAACTATCCAAAGACAGTCAATCAATATATTGATTCTGTTGCTCTGGAGAACCCCAGCACAGTGCCCTCAGAAGAAGACAAACATAAGCAATGATTTCTGTCTTGGACATATGAGGCTGCAGTGAGAAGGCAGCTGTCTACAAGAAAGGAAGAAAGTCCTCCCGAGACATTGATTCTTCTTGTTCCCTGATCTTGGTCTTTCCAGCTCCCAGAACTACAGGAAATACAAGTCTGTTAACCCATCCAGTCCATAGTATTTTTGTTTATCAGCCTGAACTAACAACCATAGTTGAGTTTTGTGGACAAACCTGGCACTGTTTCCCCAAGAAAGGATAACATATCTTTTAAAGTATGGAGACAATCAGCACTGATACCTTACTTTTCTTGGCTCATTGAGAAGGATCCTTCCTCTAATAACTAACAAAAACATTAGAGCAAGCATGCATTTTTCTCTAAAGCAAAAAAGAAAATATTGTAAGCCATTTTATGCTTTGCTTACTTTTCCTTATAACATGTAAGTTGTACCATACTGTAGGAATATTGGCATGGTCATCAGGTCTATCAATTTTTTTATTGCTAGGAAGTGTTTTCATATTCAAATAACCAAAAATCTCCCTGTTTGAAAATAAACAATATCCCAAAGCCTCTTAGAATATTGGCAGACAACTTTGGAAAACGTCATCCCAATTTACTGTGTTGACTTGGCATTGTACAGAAATGGACAACCATATTGGTCTAGAAATGTTAATTTATTTTTATTTTTTATTTTTTATTTTTTTTTCCCTGTGTACAGGGGTAACACATCGCACTAAATATGTAAGGTCATATCTACATGGGTTTGATTACAGAAACTAATAAAATATTCTCTAAATAATGAAAAAAAGAATAAGATAAGACTATAAGAGCGAGAAGCAATTTAAATATGTTCAGGGACCATTTTCATCTCCAGAATTAAGGATTATTTTGATGTTACATCATTGCCTTTTCTCTTTTACTTTCCTTTTTAGTTTTATTTTAGGATTCCCTATTTTTAATTTTCATACAGAGATTTCTTTAACTGAAATACCAAATAGTTTCTTTGGTGTGGAAAACTATAATAGTACACAGGATCCTAATGAGACAATTAATAATGTGAAATAGGAAGTAAAGGGCTAAAGGTATAGGGAAAGTGGGAAGGGTAGGGGAGAGGTAATAAGGGAGAGGAAAAAAATATGAGAAACTGAAAAAATGGAAATAAAGTGTTTGTAAATGGGGAGGGGAGGAGGGGGTGAAGGGAGGGCAGGGACAAGGGGAAAAATGAGAATCAAGACCTATTATGTAAAGGTACAGAATCCCAATGATGAATGTAATTGTATTGTATACCTAGATTGTACCAATAACCTCAATACAAAAAAAAAAGAATATTAGCAGAAAGGTTTAAAAGGCCTTGCTTCAAACCAGCCTATGATACTTAGTAGTAATTTCATTGTGGGCAGGTAATGATGTGTTTGAATCTCAATTTTCTCATCTATGAAATGTGATACAAATCTAGTCACAGATTTTTTATAATAAAAATAGTGTTTGTGGGCCAGGGATTTAGCTCAGTGGTTCTGCCTCCTGCCTCACAAGCACAAGGACCTGAGTTTACTCCCCAGTACTTTAAAAAAAAATGTATTTGTGAGATACTTGGTTCCCTAATTAACAGAAAGTACAGATGTCATAAAAGTTATATTTTCCTTACCTTGAAAGCAATGCATAAAGACAGGGACTATAAATTCATATCTCTCACCATGCACTAAGCTAAAATTGAAATGGATTAAAGATCTAAATCTTAAAACAGAATCACTAAACTTGCTGGAAGATAAGTTAGGCAGAACTCTGGAAGACATTGGCATAGGAAAAGGCTTTATCAACAAATCCTCAGTAACATGGGAACTAGCAGAAAGAATCAACAACTGGGATTTCATCTTATTAAAAAGCTTCTACCCTGCAAGAGAAACCACCCACAGAGCTAAGAGACAACATATAATGTGGGAAAAAATTCTTACCAGCTGTTCCTGAGACAAAGGACGACTACAGAGAATATACAAAGAACTTAAACCACCCACAGAGCTAAGAGACAACATATAATGTGGGAAAAAATTCTTACCAGCTGTTCCTCAGACAAAGGACGACTACAGAGAATATACAAAGAACTTAAAAAAAATTGGAACCCAAAATATAAAGGCCCAATTAAAAAATGGTCATTTGAAATGAACAGATAATTTTCAGACAAAGAAATAGAAATAGCAAATAAACATATGGAAAAATGTTCAACATCACCAGTCATTCGAGAGTTGCAGATGAAAACAACACTGAGATTCCACCTCACCTCACGAAGAATGGCTGCTATCATGAAATCGACCAATACCAAATGTTGGTTTGGTTGTGGGGAGATAGGAACCCTTCTTCATTGTTGGGAGTGCAGACTAGTGCAACCACTGTGGAAATCAATATGGAGATACCTCGACGAGTTTGGACTGGAGGTTCCATTTGACCCAGCCATCTCTCTGCTGGGTCTTTCCAAAAAAACTAAAAGAATCATATCACAGCAATATATACTCACCCATGTTTACAGCGGCACACTTTGCAATAGCTAAAACTTGTAAACAGTGCAATTGCCCATCAACTGGAGACTGGATAAAGAAGGTAAAGAAGGTGTGTGTGTGTGTGTGTGTGTGTGTGTGTGTGTGTGTGTATGTTTTAATAAAATGGACTACTACTCAGCCATAAAGAATGAGAGACATTTATAGCTAAATGGATGCACACAGAGGACATTCTCTGAAGTGAAATAAATAGGGCACACATGCATAAATACCTAATAGTTTCTCTGGTATGAAAAAGTAAAAGTGTAAATAAAGTTAAAAATGTATAATTGATAATGTGAAATAGGAAGAAGAGGTCTAAAGGCATAGGGGAAGTGAGAGGGGTAGGGGAAAGGGAAGAAGGGAAAGGAAAAATATGAGAAAAGGAAAAAATGGAAACAAACTCTTTGTAAATAGGGAGGGCTGGAGGGGTTGAAGAGAGGGCAGGGGAATGGGGAAAAAATAAGAACCAAGATAGATTATGTAAAGGCACAAGTTCCCGATGATGAATGTAACTGTATTGTATATCTAAAGTGTACCAATAAACTTATTGAAAAGAAAACTGCTCAGTTTGACCTAGACCTGGATTTTCTGTCAATATCAATTTTAGGAGAGTGTTTGGATATAACATGTCAACAGCTGGCCACCTTGCAAGTTGAAGTCTTTCCCTTGCATGTGGCCCCATCTCACTTCAGCCTGGAGCTGACAGGCATATTTATGAAGGTTATGTCCCATCGCTTTTGACAGCTGCAGATGCCATCTCATGCCACTGGCAGCAAAGCACTGGGATATGTGGGCAGTTGACTGTGCTTCCTGCCTTTAAACTGTGAGGCAGAAGCCCCAGCAATGAGAGGATTAAAAAGCCTCTCAATTAAAAAAGACAAGGGGGGCTGTGGGCTGCAGAGTGTATAAATAGACATTGCCCAAGGCTGCCTGATGAAGCTGTTGTTCAGTAAATCTTTCTCTTTTAAGGTTGCCATTAACAGAGACCATTTAAAATAGCCAGTTTCATTTTGTCTTTTGGGGAAGCCCTGGGTTTCAACAAGTCAGCTTCGTTGGCTGGTATTTCTTTCAGGACAGGCTGTCAGTATTTTGAATCGCCTTTACATGGAGCACAAAGATGATGATGATGATGATGATGAGGATGATGATGAGGATGAGGATGTGTCTTTTGCCAAATGGATGAGCAGCTTCTGGGGCCACAGCTGGCGAGAGGAGAATGAGAGAGAACTTCGGGAACACCACCGACCACAAGATGCTAAGCACAGGAAAGCCTCCCTGCCCTGCTCTTTGAGTTATTATAGAACTAGGGGAGAGCTAGAGTAGAGGAGGGGGTTTTTCTTAGAGAATTTTTAAAGAATCTTTTGGTTTGAAAACAAATCTCTTTTTATACCCACAAAAAATCCATTTTATCATTTTGTCTTGTTCTTTAAGGTATTTGATTTTAATCTATTAGATAACAGTTTCTTCATTTTTAGTAATCTAACATATTTTTACTCTCTTTTCATAAGCCCAGGATAATCCCACTAAGTGATAGAATTCAAACCAAAGGAAAGAGACTTGGTGTTATATCCTCTGTGTTAACTCTGTGAGTCAGTGTGTGATTTCCATTGTCTTTTTAAAATACAAAAAATAGCTCTACTGTTTGGTGGAATTAGGAATTAGGAATAAGGAATTAGGGCTTCTGGAAAGCAAATCACAACCTTTGATAAATTGATATGCTTTTTCTTCTTCTGATTTCATTTTCTGATGAGAGAAGGAGCCAAATTTCTATATTTTAGCATTGTTTGGCCAAGACTAGGCTGAGTACCAGATGTTGGGAATAAAATTTTGGCAGGACAGTTCCCAAGAGGATCACCTGATCTGGTGTGGACTCAGTGCCAGGTACAGGGGGCAGCTCACTCTGCTTAGCTGAGGTGCTGGAAAACAAAGGTATAGACATCAGTGTTCTTTGCTTCACAGTTATATAACAATGATATAGCTTTTGGTTTTCATAAGTTGCTTAGAATTCTAGCTACCAGAGACTGCTTCCCAAATCTCTTGCTTCTGCCAGCTCCAGAGCTAATTAAGTCTAGCAGTAAATTGAGTTGACTTTTAGCTCCAACATTTTCAAATGAATAATGCCTGAGAGGTGTAGTAAAGTGTGCAAAGGAACCTCTTTTGCACCACTAGTCAGAAAGCTTGAGTAATGAGACCTCTGCGAGACACAGATATTTCAAAATAGGCTTCTTACAAGATGCACACTATAGGACAAAAGGCAACTGTTTACACTTCTTTCTTCTTCTATTTCCTTAAATGAAAAAGGAGGCTTTGACTGGATGATCTGTAAAAAAAATTGTAGCTCTCACTTTCCATGACTTTGTTGTAGAAAATACATGCTTATGACACTCCCATAGAATCTTAATATAATTAAATGTTTCACTCCTGGTGCAGTATCCATAATGTACAAACCAGAATGATGGTCACCTTTCAGTTTCTAGGTGTGAGAATCAGTCATAAACAAAGGAAAAACTGTTTTACTATTGATCACAGTAAGCCTTTGGAACCACAGGATATATGAAAGCAAAGGAAGACACATGGTTTGCAAACTATAATTTCTAGAATAAAGTTTAGCTTCTATCATACTTTTAAAAATTAGATGATACAGACTATTTAGAGAATTCTCTTTTAGCTTGCAATAGAGTTTTCCTTATGCTCATGGGGAACAGCAGACTTTGTAATATATAACATTTGCTTTTTTTTTGTACTGGGGATTGAACTCAGATCCTTGTGCTTTTGAGGCAGGCATCAGAACCACTGAGCTAAATCCCAGGCCCTATATATAACATTTCTGAATAAGGTCCATATGACAACTTTTTCTTACTTTGGGCATTTTCCCAAATTAACCTGTTTAGATTCTCTGAGTCAATATGGAATTTTATAGTTACCAGAATATGTATATGTTTATTTAGGAAGACAAAATATGGAATAAAAATTATAATCTGTCTGAATAAAGAAGAGACAGAAACACAGCACCCAGATCAGAAGACATAGAGACAGTATGGGCAAATTCCTGGAAAACAGGGATCCTTATTCTTCTCTCCCTTTTTATATAATGCTATACATTATGTAAAAAGTAATATTTATAAAGTAAATCTGAATTTGCATACTTCTAGCTCTAAAATGTGCTCAAATTCTTCTTACTTTAGAGATCTGAGAATAATTTGGTCTATACTTTTTTTTTGGTATCTGGGATCAAACTCCCGACCTTGCACTTGCGAGGCAGGCAGTGGCAACATTGAGCTAAATCCCTGGCCCTGGTCTAAACTTTTTGTATTTTGCTTAGGTCTTAGTCAATACAAAAGGCAACTCTTCCTTTAATATGTTTTTGTCTCCCAACTGCTTCCACCCTTGCTTCTCTCAACTTACTAATAATCTATACCCATTAATATTGCATGCATAGAGAAGAGCTTTCCCCTTTGTCTAATTTGAGTGTGCTTTCTAATATGTCTTCATCTATCTCATGATTTATTCAAAACCACTGTGATGGAGCATTAATTCATTTAACATATTTACTAGACTCCTGCTATGTGCCAGATCTTGTACAACACACAACAGATTTACAGGGGGCATACATGGTCCCTGAGTGGAACCTTTAGTCTACAGAAAAATGAAAATTGGCAAAAAGAATGAGGTGTGACAAGGATAAAGCTTAGTCCTTCTCATTGAACAATTTTTGTCACGGCTCATTATTGCTCAGATTTCTACTTAAGGTGAATAAAGTGTCCTAATTTTATTTTTGTGTTGTCCTTGGTGAAAAAAGTAAAGTGATATCATGTCTTCTGGCTATTGAATATACCTGCCTTGCCTTCCCATTATCACATGAATACAAAACTAAAGTTAAACAGTTTCCATGTGATTTGTTTTGCTGACCGGAAGTGCACTTGTATTAAAACCTTTTTAGGACTGGGGATTTGGCTCAGTGGTTCCACCTCCTTCCTTGCAAGTACAAGGGCCAGAATTTGATCCCCAGTACCAAAAACAAAACAAACAAAAAATACAAAAACAAAAACAAAGCCCCAAAACTTTTTATTAGTACAGTACATGTTTGCAACACATTCACTGTGGAGAGATGGTATCTATCTATCTATCTATCTATCTATCTATCTATCTATCTATCTATCTATCTCAGCTCTTAACTGTTTTGTTGTCCCCTTCCCCTCCTCTTTCTCTCTCTTCCATCCATCTCTTGGTCCCCATTTCTTTTGCAAAAGATCTACCTCTCTCTTTTCTATTATTTTTCTTATAATTTGGCTTTTTATTTGTTTATACATTGGGTTTCTCATATAAGAGAAACCAGGCAATATTTAAGTTTGTGTGTCTGATGTATTTCATTTAACATTATGGTCTCAAAGTGCATTCATTTTCCTACAGTTGACTCAAACTTATCTTTCTTTAGGGCAGAGTAGTACTCTATTGTATATAAATAGCACACTTTCTTTGTGCATTCATCTGTTGATAGATATATAGGCCACTTCCAAGATTTAGCTATTGTGAGTTGTGCTGCTATAAATATGGGTTGAATTGCTATCTTTAGCTTTTTACAGATTCTCCATACTGATTTTCCTAATGGTTGTACTAGTTTACATTTCTGGTAACAATGTTTAAGAGTTCCTTTTCCTCCTCAGCTTCTCCAGCTTTTGTTTTTATTTGATTTCTTGATAATAGCCATTATTTCTAAGTTAAGATGGAACCTTAAAGCTGTTTTAATTTGCATTGTAAGTGCATTTTAAAAATCATAGTCTCCATCAGCTTAACATGGTTTTCTTCATATCGCTCTGTATAGGCTGGGCCTGGTGGAGGGAAGATTATGCCAAATGAAAAAAGGAAGTGCTGAGTTTACAAATCTAGAGCTTTGTAACTCCAAACAGTCTTTATCAGTGCTTCTTTCAACTGCAAGGTAGACACAGTATATACTTGCTCACATGAAATATTTTCATGGGGTACAAAACAAGCCTCTATCTATACTTGAAACCTTTTTTTTTAAAAATCACATTTCCCCATTTTATATTCTTTCTTATTCTCGATTTAAAATAATGAAAAAAGCTTAATTTTACTTTTTACCCTTGATTTACCTGAGAATGGCTATGTAGTCTTTTTCCTACAGATATTACTACAGAGATAAGTCCCTTGCACTTCTTCACTCATGGGAAGGACTAGGGCTGGGACATTTCCCAAACCTTGGAGAGAAGGGGTCTTGTTAAATTTTATGTTGTCACTGAGTGGCTTCTTGTAGTTCATATTATATTTGTATTTAATTTTTTTGGCGGGGAGTTGAGGCAGGGTCTCCCCTTGTAGTTCAGGCTGGCCCTGAACTCACTCTGTATCCTAGGCTGGCCTCAAGCTCATGGCAATTTTCCTCCCTCAGCCTACAGAGTGCTCGGATTAGAGGCATATGCCACCATCCTTGGCTCTGTATTTAATTTTAATAGAAGGTAGCACATCAATAGAAAGGAATGAAAGTAATAATACAGTGTCAGAAATATCTCTATAGGGAACTTTTTTGCCTAATGTTCTTTGGACTTTTCTCTCTTTTATGAGATGCTAAGGAGGAGGAGCTGCTAGACAGGTACCCAAGTGGAATGATTAAGAGAGAGTTCAGTATCCAGCCACCAGTATCTGTCTTTTACTACACACATGTCTCTGAGAAACTTACTTAACTTCTCTCTGCCTCAGATTCCTCACTTTATATGGGATCGGTGATGATAGTAAGTGCCTCTCAGGGATATTGTAAGTGTTCAATGAATCATGTGCATAAAATATTTAAGACAGTGACTGGTAACTAGCAAGGATGTAGTCCTGTTAGAAATGGTGACATTTGGTGTTTTTTTCAGATACTTTCATTTATTGCCAAAAGTTGTAGAGTTTTTCTTTCTACTTTTACCTAATTGTCTTTTATTTTTTATTTTATTTTTTGGTACAGGGGGATTAAACTCCAGACCTTGCACTTGCAAGGCAGGGGTGGCACCACTGAGCTAAATCCCTGGCCCCTCATTGTCATTTTTAAAATATAAAAAACATTTTTATTTGATTTAACAATTCTACAAGCTGAGGGGCATAGCTCAGTGTTAGAGAAAAAAACTTTGCTTTGTGAGGTCCTGGGAATTGGGTTTAATCATTAGCACCACAGACATGCAAAAAAAGAGTATGCTTTTATGGAGTGCAGTGTGATATTTTAATACATGTATAAAATGTGTAATTATCATTTAATTATTTGAATATTACATGTGTTTTTCTTGATGTTACTAAATATA